AAAAAAAAAGGATTGTGTCAAATTATGTTACGATATATCATTATTGACAGGAATACATTTTATATTATTATACAAGTGCCATCACACATAATCTTGTCCAGATTATTCTTGAATAGTTATCAGACGCTTTGACACTTAAGCAGTTTTTACACCGTACTTTTAATCACTGTTCCAAGGGCTTATATATTATTTTAAGACGGCGTTAAAGCATAAATGAATAAACAATCACACATGGTCATCTGGCTCCGAACTAAAGTTCTCTATACTAAAGGAAGCTGAGAATGATATACAAAGTGTGTATTTACGTTATATACAAAGATATTAAACCACTAAGAATTTTTTATTTTTGTTTTATTGCTTAGATGGGTGGACGAGCTCACAGCCCACCTGGTGTTAAGTGGTTACTAGAGCCCATAGATATCCACAACGCAAATGCGCCACCCACCTTGAGATATAAGTTCTAAGGTCTCAAGTATAGTTACAACGGCTACCCCACCCTTCAAACCGAAACGCATTACTGCTTCACGACAGAAATAGGCTGTGTGGTGGTATCCACCTGCACGAACTCACAAGAGGTCCTACCACCAGTAATTATGCAAATTATAATTTTTCGGGTTTCATTTTTATTACACGATGTTATTCCTTCAACGTGGAAATCAATCATGAACATTTGTTGAGTACGCATTTCTTAAAAATAATTGGTACCGGCCTGAGATTCGAACACCGGTGCATCGCTCAACACGAATGCACCGGACGGCTTATCCGTTAGGCCACGATGACTTCAAACCACTTCACCAAAGACATTAAAACACTAGGTAAATGACAAATATACCTTGTTCGAAATGTGAGAATCGCACCCACGATCTTTCGGGCCTAGCAGTCAGTTGCGTTAGCGACTGTTCCACCAAGTCAGATATAGCAGTAACCCGTAGACATCCGGAGAACCACAGCCTACGATCCAATTTTTTTTTGTCTTGCTAGTCTTTCGTAATAATACCTCATAAATTCCGTATAACTGCTCTCCAGTTATAAATTACTAATATATTGATAACTTTGAGTAATTATGTATCACGTTATTATAATAAAATAAACAATATTCATAAATCTGCGACTGACTCGGTGGTGCAGTAATTAGCGGCCCTGACTGACTGTTGTGCCGAGGGTCGTGGGTTCGATTCCTAGAACAGGCAACATTGTGTTATGATTAGATTTGCTTGCTCTTTGTCTGTGTGTTTATCACCTATATATGTATACATTTAAACATATATAAGTATGTTAATCAGTCTCTTGTACCCATAACACAGGGAATCCTAATTTTGGGCCAGATAACCGTGCGTGATTTTTTCCCAGTTATTTATTTATTCAATTTAATTTTGCGTAATTATCAATGATAGCGCGCGTTGTAAGCACCACATCCTGTTTGTTTTCTGCCGAGAAATAGCAATGCCGGTTTGAGATCTCCGTTATACTTTGACATCAAGTTTCAATGCGGGTGGTAGTAATCACATTGTGTTGTCTATGGACTCCGATAACACAACACCATGTGAGTCGTGAGCTCGGTCACCTATCCGAGCTATAAAAAGTCCGGAATTTAAGGTAGTGATTCTGTACACCGTATCAGCTTATCTGTGGATTGACTGCAGGTTCATAAAATAAAGTAGACGATATTTTATATCGTTATGTTGTACGAGTATAAATAGAATACGGGCCTTTCAGCTGCATGGAAACCGCAAACTCGTGTTTACATCAAGAATTTCTAATAATTTATACTTTCAAGTATAAGAAGTTATAAAAAAAAAAAAAAAATCCGCGAAGAGAGTATGAGTGCTTATTTATTTAACGTCTATAATTATTTGTGATGTTTTTGTTTTCTTGGTCTAATTTTCTCGGATGACGGATATTTTAATAAATAATCTTAATGATTAGATATTTTTAGAACGATCATAGTTGTTAATCTATTGCATAGCTTTTATCGCGGGCTTTGAGTGCGGCGATCGAATCAAGAAATTCCGTAACGAAAATAAAACCTAACACCCCCACTCCGCCTACCATGTAGCTTACGTTCGACACATTCACACGTTGTGCTTGTGTAGTATTTTGAATAAGCGCGCGGCGTAAAGTCGCACTGCATGCACATCATGAAAAGTCTGCCCATCTCTCTCTCGCGCGGTCTAGCTTATGAGTGTGAAGGGGACAGTTAATGTTTTGCTTTTGTTTATGTTCATAAATATAGCGTGGTCTTATTTTATTATTGTTTTAATATTAAATTATTATTGTCTAATTATAATTGGATAAGTTGATAAAAAATGCTATGCCGCGGCAGTTCCCGAGTACCACACGTGCTTTTTACCTTGGTCTTAACCGCTAATGGTAATACGACCTTAATGAAAACCGAATAGTTCGACACTGTTGCTTTGGTTTACAATCCTTGAAAACCAAATGAGTGGTAGCTCGGAGTGGTTTTTCCATTGTTTGTTTCAGCAAGGTAAGAGACAGGATATATTTTAGGTATAAAAAAGTTATCTTGTGGACTCTGTGACCTACTGACTCCATAATTGACGGGATTGACCCTCAGTCCCAGTATCTTTGTTAGAGATATCTTTTTAAAGGGTAAAAATAATCCGGTATCTGTTTTTAACGTGTGTTAAGCAAAGCAATTATATAACTACTTTATATTTAGATACAGAGATTTAGAGATTGAATGATTGATTCGGCGTGGGTTCGATTCTCTCTTCGAGCAGCAACATTTGAGTGCGAACAAGTTTGTTTGCTCTTTCTCTGACTGTGTAATGTAAACATATTTATTTATTCAAAAATATATCAGTATATATCAGAGTTCCGGGTTCTAGTAGAACAGGGAAACCTTATTTTGGGCCGGATGACACATGATGATTATGCCTTTAATTACTTATTAGACACAAAAACAGGAGACCTTTAAACAATTTATAATCTTCTAAACCTCGGAGAACCTATTGATTGAGCAGCTTTTTGCTCGATTAAGTTCAACATAGTCTAACATTACCTCGTGTTCACTAAATTTAATTCTAATTAAATTAATTTGTTTGTACTGTTTTTCTTTGTTTTAAATCGAGGATCGATTTTACCGGTTCATAACGATCAGTTTCATAGCTTTTACACGACTTTTCCTTAATTATCAGTCAATTTTGTAACATCTCCATTAAGAGATACGACTACATGCTCTCTCGAGCTATGGGCTATGGTTTGAATAAAAATAAGAATGAATTATTATAGCATTTATCTTTTTTAAAACTTATGCTAACATAAAATGTGAATTTACGAAATGCAACACGGAATTCTACAATCTTTCATCGCCACGTTCATTTCATGATTTATTTAAATTACTTAATAAAGATTACGTTGATCTTGATTTATCTTTGTCTTTTTTCTAAATTTATTCTGCTGCATGCAATTTTTGTCATTTAATTGTTCCCAATCAACTGGATTATAAACAGCCCAATGCAAAAGGTCTTTGATTGCCCATGACGGACCTGTCAGCTATTACGAGTAGTTATGATCGTTATTAAAATTAAGTAAAGTAAAAGAAAGGAATCCATTTCTTGTTATTTATTTTACTTTAACCACTTTAAGAAAATTAGTTTTTTTAACGAGCAATGTTGAATTCATTTATTTGTTCAGTTAATAATTCAAATGAAAATGGCCTGCGAGTGGGTCACATTGAAGTGGTTTTTTTTTATTATTTCTAAACATTGTATTTCTTTTAGTGTCTGGTTGGAAATTTGTAATAAAAAGTTAAAAATTTTATTCCTGAAAAAGGGTTCCAAAGAAATATTTCCCTAACAAGTGACGAATGAGTTTATATTTTATGATATAGAGTCATGATTTGGTTGGCAATGGTTTCCCCATAATACGCATCTTCATAGATTTGTATGTAATATAATTTAGCAGTATAATTAAACTTCGATAGAATATCTCTGTACTATTCTTCCAATCGTCCTTTATGAGTGAAAGCTTGTAGAACTGCGCCCAGTAGCAATCAGCGTAAACCAACACAATTCCTTATTCTAAATATGTATATTGTCCTTACCTTTTATTGTTCTCACTATGGAAAGATACACGTTTTATGATTATTAACATAACTATTATTTAAAAAAAAAGTTATAATGATAATGACATAATAATTGAACGGTTATTGCACCAATTTCAGTGTATTGTCGTCATGTGAGAAATGAGTGATGAGTGGAAGCAATGATGGTAAAGTACACTGTCGATCATATTGCTGTTGTTGTTGTGAAGTACATTCAAATAAGTTGTGTTAGTCACTGGGGGGTGAGGATCTAAACACATAAAGAGCTTGGGCGAAGGGTAGGGGGTTGGTTAACAGATGAAAGACGCAGACAAAGGGTAAGGAGCACATAAAAGGGTAAGTTTATTTGAAGCTTAATTTGCGTGTTCGCTGAAATTTGCTCAATTGATAGTATGCGAATCGCGTCTCGATTTGATATTTTACAAGCCCTAAACCTGTCATTTGTGTTTTAGACGTTTTGCGTGAAAGCGTAAATGATTTTCCTAAGTTTCAATCAGATTAACAAAAGTTTAACACATACATGTGAACTATATAAGCACAATTGACGAGACAAATAAATATTACAAAAATGTGAACGTGACTGCGGCAAATGATTTCATTTATAAAGATTTTTTTTTGCGGACGGCCGCTTACTACTTGGCAATTGAAATAAGTTTTGTCGCAGTCACCGGATAACATTCAAGACAAACATACAGATGTTACATACACATAGAGAATGAAACGAATACAGACAGAGGATTTAACGAAAAAAATAAGAAGCGTTGGTGGCTAGCTCGCGTGCCGTCGAAAACACGCGAGCATCGCCGGCATCACACACATAATGCAGGAGTTGCAACCAAAGGAAAGAAGGTGAACAGATACTGAACACAGAGGGGCGAGGGCGGGCTGACTGACACTTACCATGGTGTAAAGGAATTCCAGAACTCGCTAGGAGTGGCGGACACACGGCGGCACAGGGACACAGAAAGACAGGACAGATTACTACACAGATACCTACAACCCTCAGTGCAACCCCACCCCGGCTTCGCAACCGCTCCGGCCGATTGCACTCGTCTATGATGGTTACCTTGCGTTTTAACATTCGATTTTAATTGTCTTTAATTAATTTGCGCACCGATTGAGAGACGAAGCCCGTTTGCATTAGAACAACACCACCACAATTAATTTATGATATAATAAGATCGAAACAAAATTTTGAAAAATTTGGATAGAAATGGATGGTTGCACCAAGATTTTATACGAAATAACAAAAATCAAAAAATCAACATGCTGGATGGTGAATACATGAAGGAACCCGTCATAATTTCGTTTAGAAAGGATGAAGTAAATGCCACAACGCAATATAACCACTCTAGACTTGAAATTAAATAAAATATTGAAGCGGCTCGTGTTTTAATGCAAACAAACTTTTAGAGGCGCCTTTGCATATTAAGCGAGGTGGGTTGTCTACTTTTATTTTAAATTTGCCTTTTCTTATTTGTTTACGAGAACGATCAGAGGTTTGTCGACGCACACGATATATTTAAATTTGTTTAAACCGTAAACAGCACTCAGATTATGAAAGACTCCTCATAATTTCCAGTTGTTCAGTTCCAGATCTATTAAAATATTGAGAAAACGCTCGATATTCCAAATAAAACGTCTATAATAATCGGAGTGCAATTTATTTAGTAGATTTAATTACTTTTCAAGGAAGCTATACTATTCGATGAGAGGACAAACCCGTGTTTAAGCTTGTGAGCGATATTTTTTTGGTTTATTTTATTTTTCGTACAGCTAACTAAAGACGCATTTAGTTTTTTTTTTATTCAGACAAACAGGAAGGGTTAGACACACACAAGGGATAAACATTAGACAATACACAACACATCGGATCTGGTGTGAAAAAAACGTAACAAAAATAAATAAAAAAAGGTTATGACAATTACATAACCATGCTGGGAGAGCAAATCAATTATTTCAAAACAATATAATACACATGATAAAACAGAGGAAAATCAAAACACTTCCACCGGATGGTAAAATAAAGAGTTGTAATCGATAAAGTTGCTGGTATTAAGATAAATTAATAAAATAACCACACCAAATCCTCGGAGAGGTTTAGGAAGATGAGCGGGATAAACAATGGTGAAGGTGCTAGAGCCTACTTAATTTGTTATTATGAATATTGTTTCTTCTTTTAAAAATATTGTACATACATAAATTGTACGGCGATGATATCACGGATCTAAAATCATTTAAACAGTGCTGGTTTTTATATAATTTAATGAGTTGTGCATAACCTATGTATTAATCAATCCTAAACTAGCACGGCAAAAGATATCGTTAGAATTTGAATATATTCTACAACTTTGTGGCTGTCGGATTTTTGTTGTGTAGATACGATATCCTTTACGCTATGAAGTGATTTGGTGTCAGTATACAATTTTAAGTATCGATATAGTTTTTCGATGACCTACCTTTCGGAGTATTCGTCCATGTGTGCGTAGCTCTGCACCGAATTTTCTTCGATGAGGAACTTAACTCGTTGATAGAAGGAGGCCGTGACAGATGGAGGTTGCTTTCGTAGCAGAACTTCTACGGGGTCGTTGGAGGCTAGGCACATGATATGTTCAGCACACTCCGGTCGGCTACAGCATTCAGAGTCCGAGCAGTCCGTCATGCCATCTTCAAAATTGAGCCATTGTGAGATGATGTAACGGTGTTGAATGTAACTTTTTTTACATAAAAGAGACGTGTAAAGCTCCTGAAAATGTTACCTTCATCGTTGTCTTCGTTGTCGTTGCACGAAAGTTCGAGAGCGATTGAGCAATCACTTCCAGCCCAACCTTCAGCACAGGAGCAGCGGTAGACGCCATCTTCCAGCAGACATTGACCGTGACGTGAACATCCATTTGGACAACCCGCTGTGTAATCGATTTGATTTGATGAAAACATAATCGTATCGTAATCAACATACTTAATGTTGTAATGGAAAATAACGAATGATATTCATTTCAATAAATAGCATTAAATTTCGCCAGAATATTCGTTTATTTGTGTATCAAATTTATACTTTTTCTACACACAATAAACTAGTAAAATCTAGAAATAAACTTACGCAAAGTACAATGTCGACCGTTCCAGCCTTGAGTGCAAACACAAGTTCCGTTCTTGCATTGACCGTGCTCATGGCAGCGGGAGTCACAGGGCCTTTGATCACAAATTGCTCCAGTCCATCCTTCGTCGCATCGGCATACACCTTCAGCGCAGACTCCATGAGGACCGCAGTCCAGAGAACAGACAACTAGGAATGAAATATAAAAACCTTCAAATGGAGTACTTAGTTTTTTTGGATAATTAACATAGGCTAAAAATATGTGTGGACGTTCGGCCCAGAACCAGAAAAGCTTTAAAAAAGAAATATGTTTAATATATTATAGATATATTAAACGAAGATACTAACCTTGTGAACAATCGTCGCCTGTATAAAGTGGATCACAGACGCATCTCCCCGCATCGAGGTCATAAATTCCACGTTGCGAACAGGCTGGGAGGCAGCGTTGAACACGCGCATCTCGCTCAGTACAAGCAGCGCCACGCCATCCTGCACGGCATACACACCGACCGCGAACACACGAACCATGACCTCCACAAGTCGGATCCAGGCAATCCTCTAAAAATATCCGAATGCTATAGATTTATCTTATATACCAGGGGTGGCCAACTTGATTAGAACCAAGATGTACTGTTTACTGACGTTACAATCTACAATCTACTAATGACATTTCTTGAAATTTAGTGAAACAATGTAGTTCAGTATACAAATAAGTGGTATATTTTCTTTTATTGAAAAGATTAACATTAAACTGAAATTATATATCAAAAGAGAACTATTGTGTGGAAGAGAGGATAAATAATGTGACGTAATGGTCATTAACAAATGATACAAGATGAAGATGATGCGCGCAGCAATTGGTGATTACGTTGCGCAGTCTGTTCTAAATATCTATTTATATTTTTTTGTTTTGCCACGATCGACTGAACTAATAGCCACGATCGACCGGTCGATCGAGGTCTACCGGTTGGCCACCCCTGTTATATACTTTTAAGGCGCATAAACAATTTAAAAGTAAGTTTTTTTTTACCTTCATCACACTTGGGCCCTTTCCAGCCAGCTTTGCAATGGCATAAACCAGCTATGCATTGTCCACGTCCAGAACAATCTGCAGGTTCGCAATCATGAGCTGGTATATCACATTCTGAACCTTTCCAACCTTCGGAACAATGACATATTCCACCGGCATAAGTACCGTGTCCTGAACACAATACTGGACAAACACCTAAAATATGAAAGGATTAGTAGAACTTCCAGAGGTGGTTTAGTTTTATTATATTTTGAAACCCGACTTACTTTTAGAACAGTCGTGTCCCTCATAACCATCTCTACATTCGCATTTTCCTAAGTAACATGATCCATGATTAGAGCAGTCATCGGGACAAGAATTTGTTACTCCTTCCGCTTCAGAAACTATCATTTCTACATGATGCGGTTGTAGCTCATCATTATATAGAGATATAAACCATCGGCCTGTATCTAAATACTGCAGAATACTGACGTTGACTCTCATATCAGTTGATCTCTTATTTATAGTGTGATTCCATTTATGATACGGATTGATCGTGCTCAGTAATGCCTCCCAGTCGTTTAGTTTTTGTTCTTGTGGTTCTGGTACATATGGACTTCTCCTTCTTCTAAATCTATGGTCTACCCTGCCACCGCGTATAAATTCGACAAAATCATATTGTGTAACACTAGGTGCTACATTTCGTCTGCCGTAAACGGCAAAATTAGCTCCCCAAGGTACAGTAAAATTTAGACTAACGTAGGCAGGCTGTTTGTTCCTAAATTCTGAACTCCAAAACTGATAGGCGGGTATTGTGGCACTATGCAATTCATCGAATTCTCGCACTTCTAATGCTGGAGACCATGGCGGAGGAGCGGCTTGTTGTGCTTGTTGAGGTATAATAGCTGATTCGAGTGCTGACTCTGCTGTTGTGGACCATCCACCCAATGAAGAAGTTGACAATGATTCTACACAGAGGCAGTTTCGTTATTTATATGTAAGAGACTTTAAATAAAGTATATGTCTATAAATGTTGATTTACACAAGCTAAGTAAAGAGGAAGAGCATAACTAATAGTAGAAGCTCAAAAATCTAGCAACGTTTGAAAGACTAAGTCAACGTTAAAACGCCAATTTTATCAGTTTCAATATTTCAAGACAATAAACTTAGAAAAGTATTCTCATATGACATAGTAGCTTGTATAAATCAGCCCTTATTTTAAACATAAGGAAGTATTTACCATCTGATGGCGACGAAGTAGATAATGAATCTCTGATTCCCTGTGCGTGTGTCACTGCTTTCACATCTTGTACCAGAATGCAGTTTGAATTGTCTATATTACTTTTAATTGACGATAGAGCTGTAAAATAAGAAAATTAAAATAAATGTAGTTACGAAAAATTATTTATTTCTCTTTATGTATTTAAGGAAGTAATGCATTGAATCTTGATTTCAAATCGAAACCTCGTTAAGTTTAAACTTATCGATAACTCGAATCGATAGTGCCCAGTGGTTCGACTGTAATCCTATTATACTTCTTATGAGCGACGTTTCACTTGGCCGGTTTGTATTCAATAGAATAATAGATGTCGTCCGAAGGTCTGAGACGTGTGCGATAGGTGACATGAAATCCCGTCGAGGTTTTATTAAGCAGAGCTTGGCTGCGCAGCATTTCGTAGTAGTATGACGAAACGATTAGTTTCGCTCCCGCGATCCGGGTATCTGGTAGGCACGTAGGTGGTTCGTCGGCACCCGACTATTTCTTGCTCAAAAGTATGCTATTGTCTACCTATTATATGACAGTTACGGGCGAGCGAATCGATCATAAAGTGCCGTGCTACGCGGGACAATTGGACAATTCTCCTCGGTACAGATTAAAAATACTACGGCATTCTGTGCCACGAGTCTTTTTATTGGATTTTTGTTTAAATTAAACTTATTTCAAAGTCAATTTTGGGATCAACTATGTTATATCTTCTAAAATAAAACTCTTATTTGTGGCTGGTATTTATTATACGAGTATGTTCTATGTGTGTTGAGTTAAAATTTTGTACAACGTATAATTTTCTCGTATTTTCGAGGATTTTTTTACATAAAATAGACCGATCAAAAAATGGCCGAGCACATTTTTATAAATAAATATCTATTAATTAAACAGTGACCAAGTAATTTGGCCGGGACTTTGTGTCATTTAAGATAGTGTTCATGTTTATTTTGTAAAGATGTGTGCTCTCAAGTGTGTTAATGTTATTTATTGAAATATGTGTGCAGGATATACGCTCAACATGTTGCATGCTCGCGTAAAATCTCGTAAATCACTACGTTTTAATTAGCTGTTACAGTAGATATTTAACGTGTCTAATTAGTGTTCTGCACACTTCACAAATCTGCCACAGAATCTCTGACAAAGTAGCATTGTTGACATTGTTTTTGAGGATTAATCTAAAATTTATTGAATCTAAATTAGTTTTTAAAGGTCAGTGCCTCATTCAGACATCTTCTAATATAATATTGTTCAGTTTTATTATTACGATGGCCAATAAAAATTAAATACTATGTTGGGATAAACAAGAGTAAAGTTCCCTTTGCCACGTTTTCCATAATTGCTGCGGATAACCCCAGGCGGTGTCAGAGCAATTAACTTATCTATCGTGGGTCGGCCAGTCTGGGAGCCATCCCAAAGATTTACTCGGCGATAAGATTTCGAAGTGTTGACGCCATTTGGCCGTCGAAGCTTTGAATTGCACAATTAACATTGTGTATGTCAAGAGGGTAAGAATACCTTCATCGACTGAACCGTCGATAGTTTAATAAACGATTCAATTTCATTTGAAAAACTATTTTACTTAGTAGAGTAATTCTATTGTAGCCTCTGTTTAATACGAAAATGAAATATCTTTGAAATCGCACTGAATTTAGCTGAAGCAAAGGAGGTTATAGTTGAGAAATTATTTGGTATAATAATGCTATTAAGAATATAAATCTTTTAATATCTATTAAATTATATGTCATTTGGTGATACATTTTATTTAGCTATTAGAAATACGTAATACAGGAGAGTAATCAAGAATTTCGGCCATACCATATCAATTTCAGCAGATAAAGTTTATAAATGACACAATTTCCGGTCGTAAAAATAAAATATGGCAATGGGTGGTAAGTCGCGACTTTTCTGATGATCCCTCGTAAAACCCATAAATTTTCGACATAGAATGTTCGCGAATAGGAAATGGAGGGTGCTCCAGTTGACGTCAGTCTCTCTATGCATGCAGCGATTGTGTGCAGATGGACGATGTTTGCTATCTCGACTATTTTTCGAGTTAATACAATTTATTGTAATACGATTCAGCATAGATTGCATCGTATGTTGGGGGAGCGAAACTCGTTTGATGGAGTCCCGAGGGATAGAGACGCGCCGTCGCACGGACTCGGTATTAGTCACGTGATAAATCTTTGTATCCCAGTCTGTTGCGCCATCTCCTTTCATTATATAATTTACATCATGATATTTCTTTCCCGTGAATATCAAAAGTATTTGCGGTCAATGCAGCAGTTTTTGTCACATGCTTTTTTTTTTATTAAATTCAAAATGTTGTATTTAACAAAGATTAACTTTAAAGATTAAATTTAAAAATCAACGAGCTCTTTTTATTAATTTTTGTGCAATTTTTATTTATTTAACCCGCAATACTCTCTCTATAGTGTGACGAGATCTGTGCAAGAGCGTTAATGTTCAACAGTGGGTGAACTTTAATAAAACATTTGGGGTCCTCGCAACTTCAATTACATTAAAAATCGACGGTCCCATATTTGTTCCATTCATTCTGCACCATGGATGTAATGAAGGGTGCAACAGATGGTACATATTTTTTGATTACAATACTAAAAACACCGGCACAAACCAGGATATTTATGTCGGATTAAATTGTAGAACCATTTTGATTCGTTACATATCCGGAACGCCAGGAGGTGTGTACCAAACACTATTGTATTATATTTTCATAGCCCTTGATTACGGACCATAAAAATAAATTTCTACCCTTTTCATGTTTATTCTGATAATCTCGAAAAAAAGTGAAATAAGTCGCATTATTTAGATATCGGCTATCTTGAAATCTGTGAATTCGGGACGTGCGTGATGTTTCAAAGAAATGAAAGTTTTACGTTTTTTTTTTGGTCGCTATTGCCGGTTTATCGATACGTACATGAGTCCCTTATCTCTCTTTCCTATAATTTAACGGGCGTTCTAAATGAAGTGAGATCCGATACGATAAGGCTCATCGACCCAAGACACCTAACATCGGTCGCTTCATTACATTACTTTCAAGAAGCATTCAATGGATTTATTTTATTGCCTCTTTATAACATTGACTGAATTAGAGTTATCTAACTGATATTCATGAATGTCGTTACAAAGACCGTATAGTAGTTTTATGTGTCGCATTAGGATGGAACAGGAACTGGTTTTAGGATTTCGTTCGAAGACTGGTTGCCGAAAGTGGTGAACTTGTTAACTGCTCAAGTAGCGTGCTCGAGGCGTATTATTTAGTGCTAGCTGAAACAGTTTAATGAAGCTACGGGTTAAGTTAAATTGAAACGCTAGCTTAGACAAGCTACCCTGAAGTGAAGCAGTTAATATTATATTTGGATTTACGCTTATAAGCTTAACGTGAACACGAGAACTAAAGTAGGGAAACGTTCGCTTCTTTCTGTTCTTTGTTTTCGTTTTATCACTGAAATAACTAATTCTTATTGAATTAATTTATTTGTTGTTTGATATTTTAATTAATTAATATATTTACTGACTGCGCCTTTAATGTAAACAATTTTGAATAATATTTGCACGCCGACCTGGTAGAAACACGCTGTTCTATAAAATAACTATCAAGTATCAACAACTTTGTAAACCGTGTTTTAGCTAATAAAGTTTGATTTGATTTGATTTGGATTATAAAATAAAAAGACGGATACGTAAATTGTAAATCTTTTGTTTGATTTCGCATACGACCCGTGAATACTCATTCACATTACAAGCTGATTGTAAAAGCAACAATTTATCACTTGTTTCTTTTTATGATCCAGATATCATGGGTTTGTTTGAGTAATAACTATTAAAATTTATTAGTCGAAACCTAAAACTGATGTACAATAAATATGCAATTCTAATGTGTCCGTTGACATTTCAATGCACTGAAATTTTAGTGAACTCATTTTATGTTAAAGTTGAAAACAGCAGTTTGTTTCAGTAAAAATGACTTTTTGCTGCACAATACATTGTTCCTACGAATGTTCCGCTGTAAGCTAGGGTTTGAGTGACAACGGAGTTGGCTGACTCATACCAACGTATTTTCCAGCTTTACCTTTTGATGACTTTAACTTGTGTCATTAAAGCTCATTATTGATATGGACAATAAAGCGGTAAAGTTTATCGCATTTACGGATTTTAGACGAAAGCGTGATGTCTAAATTCCTAGGTAAGGATTCAGGATAAGGCCTCAAAGGCCATTCAATATGTTATTGAATTTACACTTTATATTACGAATTTCAAGGATCACTTTCACTTCTTTGTTAGTATGACATATTGCAAAAACTTTTATTGAAAAAGGAATTAAACTTAGAAATAAATTTGATCGGAATTGCCGTTTAGCTAACAATCATCAATGTCTGGTGGTAGGACCCCTTGTGAGTCCGCGCGGGTGGGTACCACCACCCCGCCTATTTCTGGCGTAAAGCAGTAATGCGTTTCGGTTTGAAGGCGGGGCAGCCGTTGTAACTATACTTGAGACCTTACAACTTATATCTCAATGTGGATGGCGCATTTACGTCGTAGATGTCTATGGGCTCCAGTAACCACTTAACACCAGGTGGGCTGTGAGCTCGTCCACCCATTTAAGCAATAAAAAAAAATCAGCATTAAGGTGAAAACAATTTTAGTCCTTCAAATACACGAAGAATGCCATGTGTTAGTATTTATATCAAAAACCGCGATGAGATCTGGCTTTATTTCAATAAGTGATGTCGAGTTTGAAAATCGAGTTTCTGTAGTATTACGAACTGGGCTGGGTAAATGCGCTCTTCGAATATAGGCCAGAGGTATCACTACCATAGTGTTCCGTGTCGACTTTGATGCTATTTTTGTGATACCTTATGTGTCTGCGGTAGAATTTTATAGCCAACAACTTGCTTGCGGTTGATTGTACAGTACTAAAGAACGAAGTAGAAAGATTTCATTTCATTCGAGTTTGTTTAATGTAATTCCATTACTACTAGGTGATGTCGGTTATAGTTCGTATCCTTTTGATAACAAAACATTTTATACAAATAGATCGAAAATTTAATTACAATTTTTAGACTTATTTCTTTTTTATTTAACTTATGATTATTTTTGATGGTAATATACTATGAAATACATCAGTTTCCTTCTACATTGAATCAGCGTGTCTGAATTAGTGCACTAACCATTTTATAGTCGAAATTGAAACGTGAAAGACATTCTATGAGAACTCAAATATTTACAATGAGCTAATAAATTTTTTGATCACACAGATGCTCGTTAGTATAAATTACATTAAAATTCGTTACTTCGTTTTAAACGAAGCCGGGATTTGTTTTCGTTGTTTATGCACGTTCGGTATGCGTGTATAAATTATGATTGGTCGTTTGGCGCATAGGCCGGGATTGTGAGCTTGATATATCCCTAGTAAAATAATATGAAACGCAGAAGTGTAAGATAATTTATTACGGGGCGAAAGCGAGCTCTCACGGGCCGCGGCACGCAGCACGCGTTGCCTTAGGTTAGGCGCATCATTTATATTTTTCTGATGTTTGTTTAGTTTTTTTTTATGAGGCTCGCTGTGAAAGCTCGTGAGATTCAAACAATGAATAGTAAAAGACTAATGGTAGATGTCTGATTTGGCCGAAACGACAATGCTTAATCCAAACATTTGTATGCGCGATGTAGATTTCAACAATTTATCGTCTTATCGTTATTGAATTTTGATGTGATGATTTTTTCCCGTTTGAAAACGGACACGTATCGAAAATTTACATTTTAATAATATTTTATTGACTTGCGTGAAATGTAGGACAAAGTAAAAATCAACAGCGGAACGCGGTGAGTGCATATCAGCTGTGTTCACATTATGTTACGGGTCCACAAAGTATCTACGAATTTATGTCAGCTAAAAAAAAAGTTATTATTCTTCATTTATTCAGGCTATTAGTTTATTCCCGTCGGTTTCTACAAGGGAACTGTTTACATGTGATACTTTGTCTAATTCAATGAGCACGCAAAAGAATAAGATTAACTTGGAAAAGTGAAAAGCTCTTTTTCGTACAGATATATCATCGGAGTTGCTAGTGGATGACTGGAAAAGCAGTATTGAAAGTATTTTTCGGTACATGCGATTAGTTCTATAGCTCAATACCTCGATTGCAACAAAAGATAAAGCGATATTCATTTTAATTATACTCTACAAATATAAACTTTGTAGAAAACTCATTGCTGATATTTTTCGTATTGAATGGAATCCCTGCAGGGTTCTATAATCCTACATAGCTCGAAGGCTAACCTCTTGGCTTCCAATCACAAAACTAGAGCTGCGCCTTAATTGGAGAGAATCCACTGCTCGGGGCACGACAAGGCTTAAACCAAGGATAAAAGGGATGCAGAGTAATGATTTTCAAGATTTGAAATAAATTCGATGAAATTTTCTCTGAACGATTTCGCTTGTTCGGTTCGATTATTTTGCTGAATAAACAAATGTTAAATCGATGCGAGTTATCGTTGCGCGTATCGACGGTCATTGGCCAGATATGTACATCATCATCATTCATCATTCTTCTGCCTTCTCCCAGTCACCTGGGGTCGGCGCAACATATTTTCTCCTTCTATACTCTTCTATCACATACCATTTCTTCGCTCACTTCCCTCTTATCCATATCGTCTTTCACGCAATCCATCCATTTCTTCTTAGGTCTACTTCTTCCTCTATATCCTTCCACATTCATAGTTAACATTCTCTGACCAACCTCATTTTCATTTCGTCTCATCACATGTCCACACCATCCCTAACGCGCATTTCTCAGCTTCTCTGTCACAGGTGCCATTTTCAGACTTCCTCTAACATATTCATTCCGTATTCTGATTGGCAAGATATGTACGTTAGAGAAAAATATTAAGTATGGTGATTGTTCTGAAAGACCAACTTGTCATGTTCCCGTTATTTCAATTACAATTAAATATTTTATAAAACTTTTGTCTCCAGCATGGCCCAAACGAGCTTGACTCACCAAGCTTAATGGATTGAAAGAAATAATGTTATGAAAATTTTAATCGGCATTCCAAGGGAGTTCATAAAAATACTATCTTAACCAAAACGACTAACGAGAGCTCAGAACACCCGCTGTGTTTTTATGAACAAAGATATATCAGTAAAACAAAAAATTCAATGTTATTAATCGATGATACAACGTATTAAGACTTTGTCTTTATTATGACTTTCTCAATGATCTTTTGAAAATAGTGTAAGATATAACAAACGGTAACATTGGAAATAGTTCTTTTTTTGGATTATAAATTTAAGCGGTAATGTATCCATACCCTGTCCTTAATATTGTCTACGTGCAAAATAGTATCCACAAATCGTCCTTCACCCTTGAATACACTAAACTGTGTTATGTTAATTTTAAATGAGACTTATGAGTATATTGATTTTGTGGTTCATTATTGTTATTGGTCCTTAAAATACTCACCTATAAAGTAGGCAAGCATCGCTGCAAGTATGACGCATAAGCAGATCATGGCTATCGCGAGGCACTTCCACGTGCATCGATGCTGACATCTCTTGTCTATGTGAAAGCGAGACGGAGAATACACAGGAACAGGACTCGGCTGGCTCGCCCGTAGCGGAAACACCGGCATTACCAGAGGCTGGTTCGCTAGCTGACAGTGTCCGCTGCCTAAAGTCCCACCACCCATGCCGCTCGACATCGCGGCGCCGCCCAATCTGCAACGGAAAATTGAAATTAGCATTTTCGTCATAAACATTTTTTTAAGTACGCGGAGTGACTGGGTCGTTATCAATAACAACAATATTTTTATATTCGTTAGAGTAAAAAAACACACACACACACACAAATGGAACTTTCTTCGTTCTCCTCGTCAGTATCGTGAATGGTTAATAAATTTCTTCGTATTGACAGCGGATAGTAATAATGGTAAGCGTGTTTTTATTCACACTAAATAGACTCTTCTAAGTTTCCACAAAAATTTCAAGTCCGCGTCATGTGTTTTTATAATTAAATAAATCTAATCGCTGGCGAAGCGAATCAATGCGAGGCACCATATGGCCAGCCTTTTATTACGAACCCATGAAGACAATCAGAACATATCATTAGCGGGGATTCCGACAAAAAACGATGATCGGGGCGTTTATATACGTCCGCCCCGAAGAACATTAATCAGTTATTCGAACTTGAGTGTCAGGACGAAATTTTAAAGGCCAGAGAACATATGGTGCATCGGCAGCTCAACGCTAGCCAACTGACGCCATTAAATTATATCTTGCACAAAGAAATGAACGTCCCGCAAAAACTGACTTGAAATAATTGGAGCTCAGCGAGAACCAAGCGTGACTCTTAAAGGGTTTGTTTCGAGGAGGCTTTCTACTGTAATTTTCTTTTGAATGGCGGCCGAGGAGCCCGAGAAACGCTCCGAGGAAGGACGAATTCATTAAAACGTGTACAGAAATCACAATGCCCGGGCACGCAGGCTTTGCCCTTAAGTGGCTTTTAAAATGTCCGGCTTCTTTGTATATTTCATTTCACTTTGAACTTACAGGAAAAAGTTATATTCTGACTCATTTAAATGTTCATTCCTTTGCTGTTAATATTAAGGTATTCTCTTTTTTTGTGCATAATGCATAATATTATAACTGCCTGTGCTATTTTATTATTTATATGTATGTACATGTTGAAATAGTAGGTAAAGTTTCGCTGCCGGTTACCGATGTATGTGGGTGCTCATAACCTGATATCCAACACCGATTAGATCGGCGTTTTATAGCTGTACACAAAATTGAATTTTTAAATCCATCATCGTGATGATGATGGATTTTATTGTTTGTAATCTCATGTAAGCACCATTACCGGCCAAAACGTATTGAGCGCGTTACGAAAATGAGGGCTCACATTTTATCTTTGTCGGAAGAAATTGTGCGGTGTAGTGTAATCAAATATTGTGCAATACAGTCAGTTATATCGGTTTTTCTATAGAAAGTAATGCCTGTTTAGTACATATTGTGGCATTAAAATAGAGCTTTAGAATAAATTAAATTGCAGGAAGGGGAGTGACGGCTTTGTTTTACACAATTAACGGGGCTGATGACAACATTATTGTAAGACAATACAGCGATTTTTCAAGCCGTCGACGTCGTGGACGGACGACGCGGCGACGTTTGGAAAGATTTTGACAGACGCATTTCGTGAGAGAGCTCTTAATGAAGCGGTAAATAATGAGCAAAGGTGTTGCGTTGCGCGAGCCCGTGTCTAATTAACACGAGACGAACCACGACGAGCCAACAAACGTTAAATTACACTTATCCGGGCCGTGATACTTCATCTTTTAATATCGATGTGAAAACGTTGTTCGAACGGAAATGTAAATATAACGGTCACACAGCAAATATAAAGGGAACGAGCACTAACAAAAACATTGGCAGGTAGCCGAGATCGTTAATCGTTGTTCGCTGCTGTCGAATGATTTTTTTTTATCGTAGTAATTGCGCGTGCAACGGTCACTATCATAGTCCCGGAGCGGATGGCTCCGACCTGTAACTCGGAAACCAGAAGAAAAAAAAGAACGAGACAAGCACGGGCCGTGAGAGCGCGCCTTCTTCGTCGCGCCTGCTACATACCGTCCATTTATCTTGCACGGTCGTGCGGGAATGGATCGGACAGCGATTTACTTTTATTGGATCGTGTCCTTGAAAATGGTCTTCGTAGGACATCACAAAACTTCGGTCTAAAACGATTGACCTCTTCGGAATCAATGAAGATAAATAAGTCAGACATTCTTAATTTCCCTAAACTGTTCATATAATACGAAATAATGATATTTCCCCAAAATTGTTGCATTTAGTTGGTTGGTATTAGTTACACGTAATACCCGTTTTATCCAAACAGTGAATTAATTTTTATAAATACATTTACTGTATAATAATAAAATAAATATTCCCAAAAATTATATCCTCTGTCTGTTTCTCCGTTTATTTCTTCTAAGCGACGCTTGTTATTTTGATGCAGTTTTTATTAATAATTAGATCGATAAAGGAGGAAACTTTAAACATTTTCTACATATTTTGGACAAAATTATTGTTGAACTGTGACGGTATATGTTAAAAAAAGTTTTTTAGTACGCTTACATCACCAACGCTTGGAAAATCTTATGAGAAAGTGTGGTCCACACGGACGAAGCTACATCTAGAAAGCGAATATAAATAATAAACATAATCATAACTTAGGCCGAGAAACCTACAAAGTTGTTTTAATTTATTTATTGTTGATTTGTAGGGTGTATATACGTTCCATAACGCGAGGGTTCTTAAAACGGTTGAGAGATCCTATCGGCTTTCGTTTGAATGAAAAACATTTTGTATTAATACTAAATTGATTCAATTTATTCTGTCGTATCTTCGGAGTAATTGCCGTGTAGGTTGAATTTTATGTAGAACAAAGAAACGTTCATAATGTAAACGAATTCAATGTGGGTGACCATTTCTAAGAGGATTGCATTGTAGTACACGTGTTGAGAATAAATGTATACACGTAGTCTAACAGTATAATATCTCTCTCTCTTCTCTCTCTTCCCAGCTATTTATCCCACATGGTGGTGGGGTCAGCTTTCCTGACTTTACTCCTCCACTTCGCTCTGTCTTCGACATCCTCGTCAGCAACATTGCATTCTCTCTTGTCCTTCAGCACTACGTCCCTCCACCTTGTCTTGGGTCTGCCCAAGCAAGGGTCGAGCAGTAGCGCCAAATTTCCGACGTAGTCAGGTGGCTTCCTTATCACGTGACCATACCATCTCAGCCTACTCTCCTGCATCTTGTCGGCGATGTCCCGTACACCTAGACTTACACGCACATACTCGTTGCGGATTTTATCGAGCCTAGTCACGCCGCACATCCACCTCAGCATCTTCATTTCAGCAACTTGAATGGTATGCACGTTTGCCGCCCTTTTTCGCTGCCATATATAAGAACAGGCTAACAGTATAATATCCACTCGGATTATTGAATGATTATTGATTAAATGATGAAAGAAAAGTTCTTTCTTTAAATTGTGCAACAGAAAAGTAAAACTCGGAAACAAAATATGGAAAACGTTAAAACGTTTCGAGCTCGGAATTCTCCGCCGGTCACCCTCTTATACCAAGTCATGGGTGTAAATTCAGGAAAGTTCCCCAATTTAAAACGAACTGTGTAACAATAGCCTTGCCTCGCTTCGCCAATTTCCGCCCTCGGTAAACGATTTTCGTATTTAAAAAAAAAATCAATTGAATTATCACCTACAGTCGTGTTCGACTGAAATAAGTTAGCGGTAAGGAAATCATTGGGAGGCTGATTTATTCTAGTTTTCATATAAACAGAAATCTGTATACACGCATGTGTGATGGCCATACATTTCTCCGGGTCGGCAGACCGCCACGCCCGGAATCTGTTCACTTAAATAGCTGTTTTATACGACGCCGATCACACCCGACGGATTAATTAAAAACATTTGTCAAGATTGCATTTTAAATGGGTATCGTCCTTTAGACATTCCGGGTATAATTTGAATCGATTATCTTATACTTCTGTTGCAGACTGAATTAAATAGAAAATTAAACATTTTAATTTTATTATTTACTTATTACACTTCATGCCCAATCCACCATTGGTTGTTAAATTATAAGAAAGAAAATGTTGTTATATATTATACTATGTTTACTGACCGAGTATATAATTACATCAAATACAATTATCATAATGTTAATATGACCATGAAATTATTTTTGGATATTAAATACGATCTTAAAAGGTTATTTAGAGAATATATTACTGTAATTCCTGTAGTAGTTTATGTAAATACTAGATTTTACTGAGATCGAAGCTCATTATAGGTTTCATTGAACTCGCAACATTTATTAATAGCTTTCATAGGTTAGCGTGCAGTTTGTTTTGGTCGTATCGTGTCGTACGATGGTTAGGTTAGGTAATACTGAAGTTGATTCATGAATGAGAGCTACACTCGCGACTAGCGACTTGTAAATATAAGTACGTGCCCACTCGGTTATATTTAGCGTAAATAATTTTCCTGGAAATATACCAAGCGACGTTAGTGGCGACATTTCAATTTAACACGAAAACCAAGTTTTATGAGGAATATTTGGATTCGTTTATTTAAAATAGAAATACGCAAGATTAGAAATAAAATGTATTTTTAGTGTTATGTATTGATTTGAGCTGATCTGTGGGTTTTTTTTTTTGAAAATGGAATATATGTACATATTTCCAGTAGTGTTCACTTTTTATGCCGTAGATCAGCTTACCGAATGCAATTGTGGTGGGGTCTATAACTATATAACAATGTTATTTAGTCCGTTATTAGTATTAGAAATGCTTGGGTAATAGGTTAATGACCCGGGTTAAAAAGTACGCTTAGATTTTATTCGTATCAAGTCTATAACTATCGCTAAAGCGAAAAGAGGAGCGTCGGAAAATCTTAAGTTATATGTATCATGAACTTAAAAGATTTATTAATCTTATTAAAGTTAATATTTTGACTATAAAGTTTCAAAGTAGTATTAATTTGGTCTCTGTGTCTGTCTATTTGGAATTGGAAGCGCATTGTCAACATTCTGTGTTAACCATATGCGATGGGCCGTCAGCTTTTTAGCTTTCGGTGATAATAGTAAAACAAGAAAATTTCCAATATCGATTGAGCTTTTACAAATATCTACGTATAGTTTCGTAGGTTCCTTGCTGACGGCACAGTCACTTTTGTGACTACTGAGTGATCGGTATTTTTCAGCTGAACGGCAAAACAGTTTTGGCACGAAGCATATCCCTTCGTAGACGCTCGTATTTCATCCCGAGTTCAATATTATTTCGACAGTCGGCCGCACAAAGAGGCGGAAGGCTCGCGCCTACGCCGCGGGCGCCTCTCGCGTATCGTTCCACAATATTGTCCTCCCGTCTGCTGCCTCGGGTTACATTGTAAATAAATATTTTTCGGCGGTTGCCTGATTGAAATTTTTTATCGCATTCCACCCCTGCCTTCTTCGATAATGGATTGTGTTCGATTTTAGGTACCCATTCGTGTGGCTTCTGTCTAAAGAAGCCAGCCTTCCGACAGAATAAGTACACAACAGCATATGTGAGTGTGGGATACATGTGCTTATATGAGTTATAGACAAATGAATGTAGGACGCTGTGTTCCCATAATCACTCGTATTAAAGCTGACCTATTTCATCGGCAATTTGACGGTTTTTATTTCTTATTATACGTTTAATTCAGAAAATTACAGCTGCTTTAAAATGTAAGGTGTTCATCTTCTTATTTCATCAGTTGTCTTATATTTTAAAACAAGTCAATTATTTTTAAAGAAAACTCGTGTGGAACTTCGATTTTCCTGTGAACTTTTAACGCTGAGCCATGTTATAAAGGTACATAATAATTGAAGTTCAGAAGAACTTATATGCACAGAAACGTGGGGACAATGTCTCACTAATTATATTTGTTTTGGGCAGCTACGAAGCGTGAGGATCGCTTGATGCCATTATTTAAACAGAGGAAGATACAAATGAGGATCCATTACCGAATTTCCGATCTGAGTCTAATGAAAGACAAATAACTTTGAGTTCATAGCTATTGATTAAGGGAATTTCCTTCAATTTGATCTATTGGACTAAACAGCACTGAACGTCTTTACTTCATTTTATAAATGCCAAAATTGGACATCTTCATTATTCAGGCATGAGAATAAAGGACACACCGCAGGTCGTTAAAGCAATAAATACAAAGTAGTCGAATAAATTGCAGCAATGAAACAGTGGGAAATAATTGGTGCCACTGTTACTAGTAGCGTTATTACATATTTTTAAATTCGAAAAAAAAAAAACTTCAATGCTAGCGATATTACTATAGATTGTCTACGGCATGAAATTGTTATACAACATGGCCGATGCTATAATAGGGGATTTGCTATTGCGCGATCAAACCCTCTGCATACATTACACCGGAATTGTCATTTTGTCTCATCTACATTTTTTGGTCATAAACCGTCACATGGTTTATCATATTTACTAAAGGATTTCAGCATGGTATATGTTTCATAAATTAAGTACAGTGGGTTTCAATTTTCGATTTAATTCATATGTGTTTGTATCTAATGCATTTTATGAAGACGACAATCGTTTGTTTATTATATATGTACGTTCCAATTCATCGTAAAAAATCATGTAATAAAATAAAACCCGTACAGTTTCTAAAATTGCGTAATTCTTGGTTGGCGCAGGGCATTTTGATCCCGCACTTGTCGGTGTCACTGGTCTGCTTAATTTAGCCACGACGCAGTCATCGGTTCGGTATGAAGGGTGTCCTGGCCGTTCCCATGAAATTCTAATTTAGACCTTATGTCTTAAGATAGGGAGCCGATTTCACGTTGTGTTGAGTGTGGGTTCCCGTACCAGTTAAGGACTACGATAAGTCGCAAATGAAAAAGATTTGTTTCTTTTTAAAGAAATATACCATTTGTAATCTTCTAAATTCAATTTAAAAACTAAAATAAAATGCAGTTGCTAATTTTATGATCGAGAGATAGTTCAAAATACATTTACTTGATAGGAACTTAATGCTTCACAGTCCACTAGTCCGGTCGATAAGGGTCATTCATTTCCTTGCACTAGCTGCATTGAATTGCAAAGTAATTTACCAGGACATAGGAGTATTTACTTGTCTAATGGCTGTAACGTTAGTTCGGTATGTATGAATGAGCTTGGCATTTAGACTTTGTGAGAATACAAACCGGTTCTGTTGTTCTGTTTTTCGTTGTTTTGAAAAGAAACAAACGGTGAAAACAGTCTTACCACTAATCAAGAGCCATATTAGAGGCTCAACCAAGCTGCTATCTACTTTTTTGGAGGAGGAGAACATTCCATGTCACTTAGGAAATTCGGATTTCGGAGCTATTTTGGTGAGCTAATATTTTAAATACCCACAATCTAAGAGGTACATCGACGGGCGAAACCCGCAGCTCCCGCCATTTGAGGTTAAAGACTGTACGTCAGCCGATATCTTCCATTTCAATACTTTGTGTATACAGCTTAAAATATTTATTAAATGTTATAATCATTTAAAAATGATTTACATTACTTGATGAAATAATCAAGTATAGTCATTCGTCTTTCCTTTTAAGAAAGTAATTTCGTTAAACAAACTAAAAGTGAACGAAATGAGTTGAATCTCTTTTCACTTCATAAAAATATCTACAAAGCTCATTAAACATTCAACTATGATTACAACATTTAAGAAAAAAAGTGTTCGCTGTCGTAGTAATAATATATTCAACTTTATGGTTAACATAAACTATAGAGTGGAGAGTTAAATAGGCATGAACAATATTCACGATTTCAGTATATTTCTGTTGTGACTATAGCTTATAATTTTTAAGTTTAGGTATGCTGAATAGGGTAAGAGCATTTTATTCATAAAAAATTCGAAATTTATGTGTATTTGAATGATTTTCCGTGATTGATGCGATGATTCGTTTTATGATTATCGCTATTCGAGAGATACGAATACAAGAATTTCTTTGAACAATTTCAATATCTCAGGAACTCGTAGAATTTATTATAGTTTTATACAGTTTTAGTTATAGTTATGTAATTTATTAGACTAGCAATGATATGCTGCGAGAGTGAGAACTTTTTGTTGAATTAGGTGGATAGACGTTACTGTAGTGTGTGGTCACCCGAGGTAGTAGACATCATGAAATGAATACCACCGCTTATTTTGTTAATCGAGATAGAAGTCACAGTGGCAGTATAGTTTGGCTGTGAGACCGAATGGTACGCCGCAGATACAAATAGCATGGCGGTACTCACCGTGGTACCCATAATACGTAAATCCAATAAAATTAGGGCCGCGATAGAAATAATTTGGAAAGGAGAAGGTAATCAAACAGAGAATGCCACTACAACGGATGGGTTAAGTATAATGTATATCTCAATAAGTTTCAAGTGGAATGTAACGAAATTAAAATATTCTATTTTTCTTTTTCCAAAACATTTAAAAAATCTAACACATATTGTTAATCAATTCAAGTTATATAGCTGATGGTGATGATGTAAACAAGCAATGTTCGCATTTGAATAAAGTGTACATCAATAGTTTGTTTCAGTGTGGCCGAAATAAAACGAGTCTTCCTGATTAAAAATATAAAATAAATCTTTTTACCCGTTAATTGAGAAGTTTGAATTAATTACTTTCATCTTCATTCATAAGAAAATAACGATGTTTAGACATGCCCGGTGTGACCGGTTCTCGAAGATGAAATAGCCTTATTTAGAATATTTATTGCTAATATATAAGCTACCAACGTTACACGCGATTGCTATTTAGGTAATTTATATGAATATTTCCAGAGAATCGTCATTCCGAATCGCCCACGCGGGGACATTGCTTCGTGATTTGTCAGTCAAAGTGGTCTCGGAACATTTATTTTATAAGTAATGTACCGGTGGAGAGTATAAGGATCAGCGTCCCACAGCTAGTTAAGTCGTACGGTACACGCCCGGTACATTAACCCTACCGAATCAAAAAGGATTAATGTGTTTCGAGTGTTCCGTGTTAGTGGTGTTTCTAATTACGGGAACGGTACGACGAGAGTTATGGTAATGTTCGGCAGCCTCCGTAGACACTGGGCTCCGCTGTCGCGTCACTGATACTTACGACTCAGAATTTAGGGTCTGTAGGGCGAGCCATTCGTTAGTCACGCCCGGTGACGTGTACCTTGGACAAGACCAAAACTGTTATTAGAAAGATTTTGTTGGAACTTTCTGGACGCTTGTCGTGTTCCGTTAAATGTTTTTTTTTAGTGTTTTTAAACAGTGTTGTTTAAAAAGAATACACATTAATTGGTTAAATTTACTTTTCAAATAGTAAAGTGTCATCATTAAATGAACGTGCAAACTAAATGCATATATTTCCGGACAAACAAAGGCACTTGGCACGCAAAGCATGCAGTTCTGTGAAGCCTGCAGGGTAAAAAAGACGTTTCGAAGTAAAAAATGAGTGAGGGGCAGCTTTGTTTGTATATGGCTCGCGTTAAGTGTTTAGATAAGTGCAGCTGAGAGCCGCGGGTACGTTTGTTATCTCGCGTGGAGCATACGAACTCTGACAAATGGAGCCACCCCGTGTGTGGTCTGTTATTCTGTAGACTTTCACCAAAAATATGCTATTCTATCTCTATATTAACTTTATTATGTCTGCTATTTAAGTAAGAACTAATGTTAGTAAGCTAATTTTCTTAATTTTGTTCCTATTCTGTATGGTGATTTATACTTTTTTTTTAATTATTATAAATGCATCTATTTAAAATAAAATTGCTCAAAAGAAAATGTGCATTCAAAACTTATGTTATTATTTAAAATTTATTTATATGGTCAACTATTACTCCTGGCTTCGCCTGCGTGATCTAAGAAACTGTCATTGAGGTTTCCAGTGGGAATGAGATTTTATTTCGGGATAAAAGGTAGCCTCTATTGACCTAATACTACGACTTTTCAAAATTAGTGTCAATCAATCCATTGCTTCGTTTCGACGCGAAAGAAATACAACAAAAACACACAAACAAATACCCTATCACATTCATAAAATTATATAGTAAGTATGGATGTTTACTTCATTCCTAAGTAATGAGACAGTTCGTCCATCTACATTATAAAATATTCAAATAAGGATAGAAATAAATCTACCCGAGGAAATGTCGACATTACATATTACTGCAGGAACGCGAGCCGTCTATTCATTGCGTTTATTTATAGGAAGCAGTGTCAAAGTGTGGCTTGTATTTATTCGAACAAGCACAACGGCTTATTTATTTTGAAATGGGTTAAGCAGAAATACCCCTATTCTGGATATGCGTCCGGTGTGCGACGAGAATGTGCCACGGAAATAGTCAGACCCGTTGACGCTGATCTCCCTGATACAGTCCGTGTCACTGATCCAGCATGCACTGTCTATACAGATGACGAAATAGAAAATTCTATTATTAGACGTTGCGTCAATCAATGCGTTCTCTGAACTGATCAATATTACGACGCGTTAAGTGTATCAAATTATTTTTTAATTTGAAAATCAAAAGAATTATTAATGAAAATATTACGTTGTCACATTTACAACAGGAAACGAATTTCGGAGCACAGAATTTGTCGTCATACATAGACGAACGAACTCAATCAATATCTGCCGCAGACAATAGGCATCTCTTATTCAAAACGGAAACTATTACAGTCTTGCTATTGTATTCATGTCTCACCTCAACCAGTATATTATTCAAACCAAAAGTGGTTTGTTTACAAACGAAAGGATAGATTAGTTGTGGGGAAGCCAGACGGCGACAGAAGATTATGTGAGGGTACTTTAAGAATGCTGGCTGTCGATCGATGTCACCATAAAAGATTTATATCTGACTGGGTGACTGAGTTGTCGCACAGACGATCCTGTGTAATCCTTTGTTCAAAACGAAACGTCATTCTACGATAAGATTTGGTGAGGTTTTAAATAATAGATGACGAAAATTCTAAGAATAGCGTTTGTATTATTATTTTCCTAATTGATTTTTGAACATTTTGGTCTTTTAAATAGCTTAATAACAAGAATTTATATTAGACTACTAAAGTGTATACTTGAATGCACCATTGTCGTGAATTATGGTTTCATTATGACTTCGAATTCATGTTATTAAAAGACAAAATAATTGGTCTCGTCGATTGAGCCAATTATGAATGATTGAATCTGCAAGATTCATTTTAATGAAATGATTGTGTCGACATTATGTATTAAACTCAAAGGAAGATAATTGAACTTCCTGCGTTGGGTAGCGATTGGTTTGAAGCGACCGCTACCGATGAGTATTCAGTGCCCCTTTCATAGCAAGGAGTCACCGACATACGGTGCTGGTTTGATGGGGCGTTTCCTCTAATTATACAAACTATTAATAAAACGCTGCTCGACTCTCTATAAACAATCGATCACTGTGCTCAGTAATGGATTCGTAAAAGGTTTGAAGAGCTGCCACGTAAAAATTTTAAGGATAATTTCAGTTAACTAAATATAGAATCAGTTGAGAATAAAATTCTGTAAACATTGACTTGATATAGAAGTTTTTAAATTATTTGATTCCTGACTTTAAACATTATGAAATTGAATGAGTTTTAAATGAAGAAAGTTTTAAATTTAATGCAAATGGTTAGCTAATCAACGTATATTCAACATATTCAATTGCAAATGTAATCTTAATACTTACCTGTAAATAGGCATTTTGGAAATAAATACATTATTCAGAAAGCAAGCTTCCATTCGTATTATTTATTAATAAGCTGAATCGCGGTGTATTGGACTAAATGCAGCGAGTCTGAGCCAATTGAAGCTGAAGCTATAAACACATAATACAATCAAAGAACGTGAGTTCAAACAAACCCTTTATTCGGAATCGTATCTGTTTCTTGTATGTTGAGAAATACCTATATAAATCAATTAGTTCATGGTTGTATGGACAGTTCGAATTTAGTAGCGATGCGATGTTGAAAATTTGAATAAGGGGAATCGGTGTATTGAATGGGTTACGTTTGCATTATCTGAACGCTATTAACTAAGTTGTAAGTTTGTGTAGGAGTTTGATGGGTGAATTGTGTTTGCGCTGTCCGGGATCGTATGAAAATCATTTCTTGCTCGAGCGAACTTCCCGGCACCATGTATGCCCAAATATTTGCCGGAAGTTTGAAACTCCTAGAGCAATTCGGCGATCGTGTCTTCGCAAATATAATACGCATTTAACGTTCTGTTTACGCGAAGCTATTAATTATAGAATCTTTGAGAAGTCACGTTTGTACGACAGTAACAATTTTTTTTGGAACGAAGTTTCTTATGGGACGATGCAGAGGGGTACCCTAACCGGGAAAAAACGTCCGTGACGTAAGATTTTTATTAGTAATGCACACAGTGTACGACTTAACTTTGTAATAACGTACAAAAAATTACATATTTTTATTATATATTTTTTATAAATCATTGTGAATAAAATTAAGTTGATAACGTTGTAAAGTAGTTTTGTTTTTATCAATAAAAAATCATAATAAAAAATGTATACCCGGAAAATTATTTTCTTTATACCTCGAATAGAACTTAAAATTAATATTTTTGTAATAAGGATCTTCGTTCCTATTCGGTATCCCACGAACCCACACATTTTTTGTATAAATTTTTACATATTTTAACTTTTTATATTACATGTTTCATGTATTCTATATCATAATGTATTTTTGTTCATTTTATATTTTAATCCATTACGGATTATTTAGCAGAAATGGGCAGACGAGCTCTATGCCCATCAGATAAGCAGCTTTGTTAATATGATCAATAAGTTTGACGAAAATTTTTGTTTCACTTGAGTTGTTTAATGTTTCGGTCATCTACATCGTGTTTTTTTTTAATATAATGAATTGTTGTCTGGTTTTTTTTATTGTCCATTGTGATTAATTTCCTTCTCGAAGCGTGGCGGTGAGTGGTCGTCAGTCTAGTGGTAAGTTACCGAGGGGCGCCTCGCGATGCTATCTGTCCACCAATGTTGCGTGCACTTAACCATCATATTATGGTTTGCCTTGTTTCGTTTGGCCCTTGTTAACACATTGTAAAGGAAATTACATTTTGTATCCAGAGTTAACACACGATAAAAAGGGCTTCTGCTGAATTTTTTCCATCTCATGCCAGTGTGTATTGTAATTTTTGTAGTGAAAGTAACAAAACGTCCATCTGTATATATTAGTGATATAATTACAATGAAAATATACATAGAAATATTTTTTAGTTTTCATGTATAAATGAAACACATACATACTAATGGAAAGGTACAATTAATATGTAAATAAATCAATGTCACGTTGAAGATATATAGGTACAATATAATAAAAAGTAGATATCTAAGGGAAATGACGAAGTCCTTAAATGTTTTCATCTTCAACAACAGTTCTGACTTCTGATTCCGATAGCTGTGACACTTAAATAGCAATTGTATTGTTTATGCAAATTCATTTTTTGTTTTTTTATTGCACAGATAGGTGGACGAGCTCACCGCCCACCTTGTGTTAAGTGGTTACCGGAGCCCATAGACATCTACAACGTATATGCCGCCACCCACCTTAAGATATGAGCTCTAAGGTCTCAGCATAGTTACAACGGCTCCCCACCTTTCAAACCAAAACTGCATCACGGCTGAAACTGGCAGGGTGGTAGTACCTACCCGTGCGGACTCACAAGAGATCCTACCACCAGTAAAGATGAATTGCAAGAAAGTAAGTCAAACTTATGTTGATTACAGCAAAAACTTATAGATGGAACTTGATATTTATCTTCTTTTTATTGCTTAGATCAACACATAATTAGTAAAGTGATTACTGGAGCCCATGGATAGTACAAAGTGAATGCCACCACACACTTCGAGACATGAGTCTGAAATCTCAGTTGCACCGGCTGTCCCAGTCCTTCAAATCTCATGACTACCTCGCGGTAGACTGGCAGGACGATGGTACCCACCTTTGCCTACGTAAAATTAACCCAACTAAATGCCTACCGGTTTTTTTTTATTGCTTAGATGTGTGGACGAGCTCACAGTCCACCTGATGTTAAGGGGTTACTGCCATAGACATCTACAACGTAAATGCTCCACCCTCCTTGAGATATAAGTTCTAAGGTCTCAGTATAGTTACAACGGCTGCTCCACCCTTCAAAACGAAACGCATTAATGCTTCACGGCAGAAATAGGCAGGGCGGTGGTACCTACCCGTGCGGACTCACAAGAGGTCCTACCACCAGTATTATGTTCAGAGGATGCTGCTGTCCATTCTTCGGTGATTCCTTCGTCTTTTACGATACCTACAGGTTGAAATCGATTGGCACTATTCTAAGCCGACAGATATCATACAGCTAATTATAAAACAAACTTTGTTTTTTACAAAAATAATTCCTTTTAACACATTCATTGGTCACATCGCACGTATTGAATTATTATTTTATTCTTATTTGTAATTTTATTTTTAAATAACCAGGTAAGCTTGTCCTTTCCAACATAATATCTAGAAATAATTTAAACAATATCCTTTGAAACTTTGAAAACAGCTGTTCTTGAAGGGGGCGGGATGAAGACATACATACATACATTGAGTAGACCAATAGTTATGCGAATAAGCAGCTGTTATTTTTAATAAGATTAATCTTCATATTTAATAATTTAAATCATTTTTAGTTTTTCTTTGGAAAATTTGCAGAGTTTTTCTTAAGAATGTTATTGAAAAAGTTATTATAGAAATTTTGCATTGGAATCTATTAAAACTATGTTGAATGAAAATTGGGGTGTCACAGGTGGCACTAACTGCTCATCTTTACTGCATGTCTAGAGCGTGCCTTATTTATAAAATGTGTTTTATTAACGTGCACGTAGAGTCTAACTTCCGGTGCGGATCAGTACAGGCCATTAGCAGGCACATATCGTTTGCATGCTGTTCCGTGTCCCTTACTCAACGAAACGTTTGAAATGGGAAATTTCTTATCAGAATTCCGAACCAAATCCCAAAGGAGAACCCGAATAAGAGCAACAGAATTAGTTTTGTGTAGTGCCATACTTTAATAATGTTCTGTGGTCTTTAGGGTTCAGTGCGGTCCGTGTTTATACGTATGTACCGTTGTATGAATTGGATATTTTCTGGCTTCGGGCTCTTTATTATTAATTTGAACAGCGAATATTAGGGGTGTGTCGAAAAGGGTAACAACTCACAGACCTGTACTTGGTATAATGAAAAACATGTTCTTTGTTGAGTTATTATTACTTTTGATTTTAAAAAAAATCAGTTCTACAATCACCACTAGTTAATTAATCGAACATAAATTTTATTATTCAGATAATTGTTTCTTGTTCGATAAGGTGTTAATATAAATCTTAACTTGTCACGTTTTATAGTCATCTATGGAGCAGTGAGCTTTCGGTGTAGTCGGCTTTATCAAAAAGAATATAATTTATGTGCGACTGTTATAGGACGTACTAAAGTGTTTTATATTATTTTGAGTTTCAGATTTGTTTTCTTTTGTCACGCTCTTACTATCTAGCAAAGATAAACTCAGGCCCACCTACTATTAAGTGGTTACTGGATCTGATACATATCACAACGTATATTTCGCCACCCACCTTGAGGCATGAGGTTCAATTATATTGACCCATGACTGATTTGCGTCAAACTTATGCAACATTTTTGTAAATTAACTGTTTTTCACAACTTTGTCATGTGCTTTTGTATTATATTATTTGCCGGTAAAAAGAGACTATGATTAGTAAAACCTTCGAAGCTTTTTCGAATAAATATAAAATAGATATTATGTGTAGCTTAAATTAAATCGCATTAATAGGATTCGATCATAAATTCGATTATATATTATACAATAAGGTTAGGTATTAGTAAACTTACCTGCACGATGTTAGAGAAGGTAGCCGAGAGTTATTACTTACCTAGGGTCTACGAAGGGCTCAGCGTATATATTTCGTACTGGTTGTCGACGAGGTAGTGGAGGTGGAACGGGGCTGAACCCCTCCATCATGTCCTCGCGCTCACTGTACTTCAGCGATTTCATTGTCATCCTGACTTATAAAGTTCACTTCACTACGCTAAATCAACACAATTCTAAGGTACATCATTTCACTATCGTTTTTCTCACTCACATAATTTTACACATCTTAATCGTTCGTGAACATAACGAAAATTAAAGACAAAATCAGTTTGTGTTTAATTGTTACTAACATTCATGGTAGGTTGCACATTTTTTAAATTTAAATTTCGAACTGAAACATATAAACAAATATGAATGTGACGTAAGAAAGTAAGCTTGGAACGCGAGAGCTTACTTAAGCTTTCCGTTTGCACGTGACCGTCTGTCGTCGGTGACTTCATCTGACTAACGGCCCTCGCCCCGACCCTCGCTCGCTTTGAGCTTCAAACTTTTTTTGCGCCCGCGCCGTCGAAAGCTTGTGGAGTTATTAGATTCTACAAAAAAAATATGTGAACCATACGCGAAGAATAATACAACGGACCTGATGCAACTTAACAGAAAAAAAATTCTACTACAGAGTACACGCCGCCGCGCCGGTGCGCAACATGCAGAGATGTGGTTAGATTCCCTTTTGTATTTTCGTCAGTTTCAACGGTGTTAGAGTGTGAATAGAAACAGTTTTGTACAGAATTCTAAAGAGGCCTTTTGTATGTCGCCGCATTGTTGAATATTACTTTTCATTCAATTTTGTTACGACTGAAGAATCATTGATAAAGCGATTAAGCTTTATCAGATCAAACGTATTTATTTACAATAAATGTCTTAACAATAATATTTCACGAAAGTTTTAGTTACGTTAATTTTGAATGTTTCGATTTCTTTAACAACGACTAGGTTCTTAATAATTGTGTATAATTATGTACTGTACAAAATTTAAACGTTAAACTTAATGCCATCGTATTTTTTATTACATAGACCGGTGAATGCGCTTACCGCCCATGTAGTTACCGGATACTACTATTAAATGATTACCGAAACCCTCAGAAATCACAACGTGAATACTGGCCCTCACTTTGAGACATGAGGTCTAAGTCTCAATTGTGGAGCTTAACGGCTCTCCGAATCTTCAAACCGGACTGCATGACTGTTTCGTTGCAAAAGTAGACAGAGTGGTGGTACCAGCCTGCTAGGCCTTACACTACGCTGTACCAGTAAAAGAATATCCAATGATTACACCTTCCTTTTATCAACTGCAATTTTAGTAGATTTTATTACAAATACGCGTTTCGTATGGATCGAATGGTGAATAAGCCCATTATGATTGAACTTCAGTTAAGAAAGTATTATATGTCTAATCGATACATTTATAGGAAAGACGAGGGTTCGGGCAGACAGTGCTGGTAGGGTTCGTTCGACTAAATTACTGTCAATGATAAGATATAGACAGTTCTTACTGATCATACTATTTCATCCACTATGCGACGGCTATTACGAGTATGTGTAACGATATGCCCTCATATAAATCCATACCATAAAAATATTGTTTTCAAGTTCCTTTTTTGTACGTATCGAACTTTTCATGGTTATTGTTTTTTTTTCACAATCTAGAACAGCTGATGGTGACAGGAAAGGTAGATGGCAAACGTCCCAGAGGACGCAGTCCCACGAGATGGTCGGATCAAATACGATCTTCTCTAAGCATCAACTTCTACAATGCCCTTCATGAAGCTAAGGATCGCAGCAGATGGAGGGAAATCGTACGATAGAAACTGATGCAGCGGGGTAGTCTCGACCCTCAGTAATGAGGAAAACGACGCGAGGAGGAGGTATTTTTTTTCTTCGAAATATTACATTTACCTCTAAAGGAAATTACAGTCGTGCGCGCGGCTGTTATAAAACCGGTTAGATATTCCTTCAGAAATATCATGGAGACTGGTCGATCATAGTACTTTGCGTGTATCCGTCTGATTGTTAGTTACCCTTGCGAACAAACAGCTACAACCGCACGCCCGCTTCCCTTTATGTTCTACAAACGATTTTAAAATTATTTACCCTCCGAACAACTTTATACATATTTATGATCGCGAAAATCGTATTATGTGTTTTTTGATTTATTGAATGTTTATTAATTCGGCAAGCTCGGTTTCGTGTGACCAATAAAATAACGTAAAAATATTCGGCGAATACGTCATTTCGATAGAAAAAGCTTCGGTAAAATTATGTAAAACCTGTCCTATGGGCCCGAATTATCCCGCAAGGATAAGGAATAAGAATATAAAAGAAGCTTACAGTTTTCCATACGGCTTTTTCAAGAAGCAACGTATGCAAGATTTACATACTTACACGCGGGTAAACATGTGCGATGTCGAAGACGTGTCTTCTAGTACCTTTATAATAAATTGATTTAAGCGCCTCCTGACGGGTTTAAGTATGTTTTGACAAACATTAGGGAATCCTGAAGCCCCGGTGACTAAACTTTGTTTTGTATTTCTCGAGCAGTGACGATTGAGACAGTTACGAAGTGAATTTACGCCGAATCTTCGGGCGCTTAAACTTTTTCTAAAGACAAACTTGTCGCGGTCGATTTGAATAAAGATAATAACGTCGCGAACTTGAAGTTATCTAATTTAGAATTCTATAAAACTAATTCGACCTAGATGTATTTAATGAATTTGATCATTGAAATACTTCTTTAACTGTTCTTCGAATGGCTTTACTTAAATCTATTAAATTGTACCTAATTAATTGATTTATTTTAGATTTGGGAAACTATTCTTCGGTAAAATATTTCAGTTTAGAATTTTAGTTTAGTTTGTTTAGTTAGATTTTCAGTTTAGTTTAGTTTGAAATTTAGTTTGACTTGCTGAGTTGGAAAATTGTTTTTGAGTTATTTTATGTAACAGAAGCTTAAAATAATTACATATGTATAGATCTCGGACAATAGCTATAGCCGTCGATGCATAAAAAGTAAATAGAAAATGGTGCGTGGTGTGTCGCTGCAGAGTTTTCCCATAGTCTATTATTATATGTATGTAGTTGAACCAAGAAGTGCTCGTAACGTGATCCATGATTTTAAGGCACGTTATTACGTGACTGTCTTAATCGCAATCTTGCATGAAACCTCGATATTGTTGATGACCATTATCGGTAATCACTCGCGATCAGGTAGGCAGTAAGTAATCGCATCTGTCTTCAATGAGACAAAAAAATACGTACCCAGTATTACGAGTACGTTGTTTTATTATTCGTTGTACATTAGTCGGGCGAGTAGAAGAAACATTATTATCTATACTAATATTATAAAACTGAACTTGTTTGTTTGAACGCGCTAATCTCAGGAACTACTCCTAGCCCATTAATCGAGGAAGGCTATAGGCTATATAACATCACGGTAAGACCAATGCAGGTGTAGCACCAATAAAGAATGTTTCAAAATCGGGTTTTTTTTTCCTTTTGTGAGCTTCCACTGCGTGCGTTGCGAAAACGATTAAAGTTTCGCTAAAATAATGTATGAGAGAATTGTTTCCCTTTAAAAGATCTAAAAAAAAGTCCGCGACAGCATATTATTATGTCTATATGTTAAGGTTGGCTCACTATAACGTTTTTTATGCTAACCAAATTTGTTCTAAAATAAAGCATTATTTGTGAACTATTCCACGCGGACGAAGTCGCGGGCAAAAGCTGGTGTAGTATAAACGCTCCAATTACGAGTATTGTTTGTGTTTCAAGAGCTGTATGGCGCTCTTCAACGATGCAGTTGAAGACCAATAAATACATTTTACACAGTTTATATTTACATTAACATTAACGAGCGGCGACCGTTCGTTTGAACCGTATTAATCTTCGCTTCTGGCCCAAACGAACGTCGTCCGTCAGGCGGCTGCATAACAAAAAGAAACTCAACTATTTTAATTGGAGTAAAAATCAAATGGTTTTCGTGCGATAAAAACGTCAATATGCTCACTGTAGTGCACGTGTGTCTGATTTAAATTCTCTATTGTGTTATAGTAATTAATGAACTTTTCGGAATATTAATAAAGTTTCAAATTACACCAAAATTGTTTGACTAGAATAGTGGTGTTTAGCGTACCCACGATGTATAGTCAAACAGAAATGTGAGTCACGCTCTTTATAATTGAATACAGAAAACTAATATCTCGAGTTAAGAGAGTAGGCTTTAATTAAATCTCCCGAATTTTAGATAGCGTGCGAACAAACACGTGCGAGAGCGAAGAAATTTCGATTAATTAACGCTATCTGCCCTCGTGTTTATTCATTTTATTCTCACGTGGCAGCCCTGTGTGCGCTTCGCAGTGTGCTCCCGATGGTGTTATGGTGTGCGTATGTCGAGCACGTTCATAAGATAAAAGACGATATTGATTCCGTGACGAGGCGAGTGCGGTGCTGTGGGAAACGATTCCTGTCCATTTAATAGATGCCCCGAGGAGTTCAACAATCAGGAGTTTTAGTTCAATCTTCTGAGAAGTTTAATACGCTTCGACTAAAAGTCATTAATTTCGATTTTCTTTTGTTTATNGTGTTATGGTGTGCGTATGTCGAGCACGTTCATAAGATAAAAGACGATATTGATTCCGTGACGAGGCGAGTGCGGTGCTGTGGGAAACGATTCCTGTCCATTTAATAGATGCCCCGAGGAGTTCAACAATCAGGAGTTTTAGTTCAATCTTCTGAGAAGTTTAATACGCTTCGACTAAAAGTCATTAATTTCGATTTTCCTTTGTTTATGTTGTTGCGAATATATGTAGTTGTGCGAATGTGTTATCGCTTAATCTTAGGTGAGCCGTGAAGTTGTGTGAATCAACTAAATAATGCAATTGATGGATTAATTTCATTTTTTTTTTATCGCCCTTGTAAGCAGACGAGCACACGGCCCACCTGATGGTGAGTGGTTACCGTCGCCCATGGACTTCAGCAATGCCAGTGGCAGAGCCAAGCCGCTGCCTACCGAAAATCGTATCTTTAAGAACTACTGTCATTTAGTGATATGGTCGGAACCACGGAACCTAGCTGAGCCGCAGAACTTGTCGCGTTCTCGTTTGATAATTACGCATGATCAATAAAATCCCAAGTCCCTCACGTTTTTATAAGGGATAATTACGTCATTTGCTACTATTATATCATCAGTTATCACCGTGAGAGCATTCTTCGATGGGCAGACGGACTCACGTGCGTTTTGTTGTGAACCATTTATCGAAGAACAAAAAGGCATTAAAGTGAATGCCGCCCACCTAAGTCTGTAAGTTCGGAGTTTTAATGGTACTGGAATTACTATCCTATTCCTCTACGTAAGATTTTTTAGTTGCTGCAGTGGGTCTCAGCACAAGTGAAATGGTGAATTCTGAAATTTAATGTAAAATTTTAGTTTCTTCAGAAAACGCCTTTTTTTTATTGCTTAGATGAGTGGACGAGCTCACAGCCCACCTGGTGTTAAGTGATTACTGGAGCCCATAGACATCTACAACGTAAATGCGCCACCCACCTTGAGATATAAGTTCTAAGATCTCAGTATAGTTACAACGGTTGCCCTACCCTTCAAACCGAAACGCATTACTGCTTCACGGTAGAAAATGGGCAGGGTGGTGGTACCTACCCGCGCAGACTCACAAGAGGTCCTACCACCAGTAAAAATTGAATGAACCTTGATGAATTTATTTACGAGAGTATTAATTATGAATTAAATGAACAAGCTTTCTAAAACGGGCCGAACTAAAAATTGAGATAATATTTTTTCAGATCTGGATTTTAGACAAGGTGACAAAATATAATGTTGGTTTGATCGGTTCTAGCCACCTGTGAACATTTTCAAGTTCGTCGTTTGATGAACTTCACACATTTATTCCAAAAACACGACAATTTCATTATTATACGTGACATAAAGGTAACTTTGACTTACAAAGTACGCGTTGTCGGTAAAACAACTCAAGATAAAAAACTTTCGTCACATTTTGTTTTTTTTTCTCACTCTCGCCGTTCCATGAGTTTTTTGTTTGTTAATTTGTCGTTGGACTAGGATCTGTCAGCACTTGTGACTTCGAAGCTTAAAAATTAAAAACAGTTTGTCGGTTATAATCGACCTAATAGAATATTTAAAAATAACACTCGTAATTTCAGTGAAAGTTTTTATATGATAACTTTTTTTTCTACTTTTGCTGGTAATTTCGAGGGGTTATAATATCACCTAACGTGTAGGCGAGTTGACGGGGCTCAGACAGCAGAAACCAAATCAAATATTAAAATAAAAAACTATTGGCTGCCTTCAGTGCTTTTATTAAACCAGTTTTGCGGGAAGCTACTTAGTAACCAATCTGATACGTTACAAGGAGGTGTAAACAAACTCAAACTGAAAAAACAGAGAGATACAGACATTTGATTAAAGCTGATGGGCTGATGGGAGATGCAAGAAAAGATGCAATCAAGCCGTGTTATATTTATCAATATTATGTTATATTTATCATCGTGTTATATTTATCATTTTAATATTTATCAATGAATGTTTTGTATTTTATTGTGGCAAGAATTTATTACTGTCTTAAAATTATTAATTTAATTTACGGAACGAAATGAATTTAGAACTGTTACAAAGTCGAAGTAAATAAATTCAAATGGCGTCAAGTTAATTCAGCATTGTAAATTATAAGTGGTAGCTTTTTATTAAAAAACACATTTTGGCACTACAAAAGTAAATACTGTTTTTATAGAATAGACATGCTTGTACTAATATTTTGGAATTTTATTGCCGTCGAAAGCAAATAAGTTTATGACCATTAGATTTTAAGTGTCGCCGTGGCTCAAGCCAATCTTTTACCTTTTTTTTATTGCTTAGATGGGTGGACGAGCTCGCAGTCCACCTAGTGTTAAGTGGTTACTGGAGCCCATAGACATCTATAACGTAAATGCGCCACCCACCTTGAGATATAAGTTCTAAGGTCTCAAGTATAGTTACAACGGCTGCCCCACCCTTCAAACCGAAACGCATTACTGCTTCACGGCAGAAATTAGGCGGGGTGGTGGTACCCTCCCGCGCGGACTCACAAGAGCTCCTACCACCAGTAAAAGGTACCTATCGCTAAACGTCACGTCACTTATCGTGTATAGGCAAATCATTAAACTTCATTTCGTTATTATATCATCTAAAATTTAACCATTTGTGAGAACTTAAAAGTACTTTAGTGTATCCTGCAATGGTTGTACTTAAATCATAGAAATGTGAACAACAGTAATTTATATTGAACGAAGCATTGCGACATCATTAATGCTAAGGGAATTGTTTCTGGCGAGTAATGACGGTAAGGTGGGGTCGGACCGGAAATTGTCCTCTTGTCGGTCATGCTCGCATTAGGTCTTAGCCAGCAACGATATTATGTGCGTGTCGTAACATTTGTGACACGTGAGGTGTCACCGATCAAAGCCACGACGACATCTGACATGAAAAATAGACGGTGATTCAACAAAATTATGATACAATGCCTCATATATATCTTTGTCATTGGAAAATTTTTGTCACTAAAGTCAAAACGGCTAGTGGTTGGCAGCGATTTCGACTTATCTTGGGCATTACTGATCACCACGAGTGATGGTTCCCGCTCAACATTTTTTTTTATTGCTTCGATCGGTGGACGAGCTCACAGCCCACCTGGTGTTAAGTGGTTACTGGAGCCAATACACATCTACAACGTAAATGCGCCACCCTTCAAACCGAAACGCATTACTGCTTCACGGCAGAGATATGCAGGGTGGTGGTACCTACCCGCGCGGACTCACAAGAGGTCCTACCAGGTACCTACCCTATATATGGCACGTTTGTTCACATTCTTTAAACGTACTTAATAAATAAAAAATTAAATCAATGAATAACATTTTCACATCAAAACTACCGTGGGCAATTTTCTCGGCGATCACACTGATCACTTTTTATTTTATTTAATTACAAAATAATTGTATAACTGTATTACGGCGCTAAGGTAGTCGTGTGCACCGTGTGAACATTCAGCGACCTCGGTCATGTGTCATGATCAAACTTAGTTGAACCATTAACGACGAACGAATCTTCAAGCAATTTAGTTTGAGCACATAATTGCGAGAACAAGTCGAACCTAATTGATGTCCGAGCCCCGGTTCAAGTTTCCGTTCATATCTACACAACTATACCGGCTTTACTAGTTTTATTATTATTTAAATTGAAATGAATATGTGTGAAGTGCTAAAGTTCCATGACTCTATTGGAAGATTTTACTTGTTTTAACGTAAATAAGTAAAATCGAAATAACAAATTGATGAACAATGCATAAGTATTTGCGATACGATTTGTTATAACTACATCCTAAGTTGTAAGCCATTTGCTAACCTGAATTATTTGAAGAGGCATTTGATTTAAGCAAATAGCTTCCGCAATTTATACTTTATATTGCAGTTAATGGTAATAGCTTCATAATGAATACACACGAAACACAGCTATAAAGGAATATTGAAAGTAAATTTACCACAAAGTGTAATTACGTTAAGATAAGCAGATAATTACAAAACAAACGGCTCGTACAAATCGGCTGGAGTTAACATCAAAAGGCGTAACGCGTGTCTATTTCGGAGAATTAATCCTTTGCTTAATATCGACTTATGAGTGGAGCGTAAACTCATAACAACATCCATTTACATCGAGCGGTATTAGTATAATGTGGATTTGTTCCCAAAAGCTGCTTGCATCATTAATACGTACACATATTCATTGAGAAATTAGTTTGTCATTTACGCAGCAATGTTTTCGTTTATATTATCAAATACAATCTGTTAACGTTTACGCTTTGGTTAGTACTAATCGCCTCCCTTTCAAATGAACTGTTTCAGATATGCTAATGTTCTTCCATTACGTTTCGCACGGGTCAATTTCTGCATAAATTTTCGATACTCTGCCGCGAATAGTGAGAGTGCCAAGCATTTAGACGGAACATTTTTTTCTGTATCTTTTATATTTAAATTTTATTAACGTAATAAGCAAGCGAGCACACGGATCATCATTCTGATAAAAAGTCATCCCTCCTGAGCATATATCTCATAGTTGGGCCATTATCAGACGCGAAAATCAGATCAGATCAGACTTAAAATACATTATATTATTATATTTTAAACTGTGTTGTATATTATTAATATTTTCTTTAAATTATTGCAATAATAGCCAACTAGTAAATTTAGTTACGACTGATGTTATTTTATTTGTAGGGTTGAAATAAATTTCGAGGGTTCCAAGGACGCCGTTTCTATTTAGTCACCGTCATAAATAACATAGATGAAGGGACTGAGGCTTTTAAAAAACAAATCACACATATTATACTGTACGTATAAAGCGTAATACTATTGTTTGTACTAGAAAAAAGTACTGCGTTTTTAACTTATTTGCAATTTGAAAAACTTAAGCGTAATAATAGTAAAGCTATATCTTAATTGTCGAAAAAAAACAGAAAAACCAATGGATTTGGTTTTAGCTATCTCTAAATTTGCTTACAGAAGATTCAAGGCTCTTTTCATGTAGATGATGGACAGGCGTTTTTTTTTAAATCACTTATCACGACAACTTGTGTAGTGGCGCTTTCATGACACATTTTAAACAAACAAAAAACACCATAACAATTGAATTCGGACACCGAACAGTCGGTTATTGCTCCAATTACAATAATATTAAATGATATCACGCTACCGAGGGCTGAGGATACCTGAAGATGCATGTGGAATGTTAAGCGATTATCGTGGGGCTCGGGCCTTTAGTCAGGTCGGTACACGCACTTATAGAGCAGAGGTCAATCGCGCTTCATCTTATAATATAGTATCGGTCAGTGACCGCACATTTAAACTAAAACCGAGCAGCGAACGCACCTCTGGCCGTTGTCGGAGGTGTTGTGACAAGTGACCGCGCGAGAGACAACGAGAATGCGCGCAGTCCGAACGCCCTCCGCAGGCGATTTGATGCCCTCCGCGCGACGCTTCTGCGCGCGCATTCTATTCCACCAGATAATGCCGCCCTGTCTTCTGTGGAGCTTATATCGAGTTATCCGCTACTGAATATCGTGCTTAACCCTGTCAGTTGTTTCAACATACGTGCAAGTCTGAGTTCGCTTTGGTAACGTAATACTTTCACTAGAAGCGAACTTTGCAACCGATACTTTTATTACTTTTCTTTTACATTCCGAGGCAAAAGTTTAAGACGTTTCACATAATTTCAGGAAATGATTCATTTTTAAAGTCCAAGTAAAAATAAAGAAGTTAATCGACAATAGACATCCCTAAACAGATTATAATTGGAGCATGCGTGGTACGAGGGTTGAGGGTAAGAGGATGACGACGACGGGGGTGAAGAGTGAGGAGCGGGGCGGTGCGGAGGGGTGCGCGTGTCACCCGCGGCGCCGCGATGTTACGACGACAACGGACGTGATCTTGACATCGCGTATGCACCTTCCAACAACACTTTAACACTACACATATTGCAAACATTGGATCTGTAATCCAAATAAGCCTTATCGATACGTTAGGAAGTGTGAACTCAAAATAATAAAATCGATTCAAAAAGCCATTCAACTTTAAATAGTAGATAGTTTAAACATTGAAAAAATGTTTGAGAGCTAACGATTTGACAAGAATTTCAAGGTGGGATGGATTTCTGGTTAAAACAAAGATGAACCTAAACCTTTTTAATTGTCTCAAATTTAGTGAATTGGATAAATAAATAAAGCAAAGCAACAATGAACAATTTTTTATATTCAGATTCTCACAAACTAATTTTAACTATAAATTTATGAATGATTTTATTAATTAAAAATCAATGCCAATATATTCGTGACTTTTTCATATTATAGCCCTTTGGAACACCGCTTATATTTTAAAACATATTATTTATGTTGTTATATATCGTAATTTTTACCATGACGACATTTTTTTGTATCATTGACATAGAAACATGAAGCTTGAGCTTGAACGACCCAAAATGCTGCGTTAGAAGCGACATGTGGGTACCATAGTCCTTGGCGCGTGACTTTAATTCACGCTCCATCGGGTTTAAGGTATCTCGTATCTACCAGACAATCTATGTACAACGTAAAAAGTCCATAAACACGAATACTTTGCGCGCATTCGGTGTAAGTGCTGCGTGAAATTAAATATTCAATACCTTTTGAAAAATTGTAACGTTTTAGTTTTTCTTATATTTATTAAGCTTAAATTTAAAATTCAACTATATTGCATGCATTTTGTGAATGTTTTTTTTTCAAACGAAGTTCCTTATGGTACGATGCGGAGGGGTACCCTAACGGGGAAAAAACGTCCGTAACGTAAGATTTTTATTAGTAATGCACACAGTGTACGACTTAACTTTGTAATAACGTACAAAAAATAACATATTTTTTTATCATTCATTGACCACGATCTCAGAGCGTTCGTTTGCGCAATATACTAACTCTTATGCAAACAACCGTTAATGAAGTGTACCACAATAAGTTCGCACGTTACCGAATGACGATGGGTTGTTGCGAAAACTCCAGTATTATTTTCTTTATACCTCGAATAGAACTTAAAATTTATATTTTTATAATAAGGAACTTCGTTCCTATCCGGTGTCCCACGACACCACACATCTTTTTTAAGTTATAATACGTGTTATACGCTAGAGGAAGAGCGCCAGCTAGATGGGTTGACCAACTCAAGGAGGTGACTGGAAGCCAGATATGGGGAGCGGTACATATGGCGCAGAACCGGACCGAGTGGAGAAGATTGACATACAGTCACGATCCTCAGCATTGAGGGAACGACCAGAAAGAAGACGTGTTATACATAGAAAATAACGACGGGAGTTAGGTATTGAATATTATCAGTAAGGTTTCCTTGTGCGCCACAGAACGCGACCCGCAACTCGCAAAGGGGTTTTGTTTTCTTTATAAACAAGCGCGAAGGTGCTGCTAACGACCCTACGAACAAATACGAAATTTGATCTTCCATTACGCATACAAACGACTCCCCTTCGAGTGACTAGTAAAACAACCGTGCCGGTATTGTTTTCGTTTCAATCTATGATAACTGTTCGACTGACTGGTCCTGCTTTGTGATTCACGAAAGTATTATTTGAGATGTTAATCTATTCAAATTACGTTACTTGAGGGTACCTGCGTCTGTAGATGACAAGGAAATAAACACGTTCAATAAATTGAAGATTGATTTCTGTGAAAGTCTTCCGATGTTCTTATCGCAATATTGAATCCGTATTAAAAAGGAAATGAAGAGTAGGTATTGGTTCCAAAAAAAAGTTGAAATGGCGCTATCGCTTTGATCTCGGGCTGCCATTGCGTTTAATTTTTGTCGAAGACATTTAAATTCGACGTTTCTTTAGGTATCTAACGACACCTCAGCTTCAGAAACTGGTCGGTCTTAATTAAGTGTCTCATACGATGGTCTCATATGAAATTTACTCGTATTCGGATTGACTTTATTATTGTTGACTAGCTGACCCGGCAGACTTCGTAGTGCCTTAATCGATATCTAAATAAAGGACACATCAAGGGGACACATCAAAGGAAAAACAAAATTGTTTGTTTTTATATAATTCCGAGCTTTTTTATATTTTCTCACCTTTTAAATCTTCCAGGGACTTCCACGAATAATTCAATTCAAATTAACCAAATCGGTCCAGCCGTTCTCGAGTTTTAGCGAGACTAACGAACAGCAATTTATTTTTATATATAGAGATTTTGATGTACAGGCTAACTTTAGAAACAATCATACCTAGTTCCGAAGTTGCATTAACAAATTTTATAGTTACATTTGAAATAAGACATTCTTAGATAAACCTGTGTTAAAACTGTAATACAGAAAGTATTACACAATATAAACGATCCCCGCGGTAAAGTGCTGCCCGTATCAATCTCTGGTCAATAAATTACTAGTCGAATTGTAGATTCGTTGGTACGTAAAATCACGAACTAACGAATACACCGCCGTATTTATTACAGCAGAACGTTGCCAAGTTAATGTTTATTATTTAAAAAAGTATCCTATGGGTTAATCCAGTTTATAAATTACCTTTGTGCGAAATTTCATTCTACCCCGTTCGGAGATTTTGCGTGATTTAGTTTAATAGATTAGTCGCAATTTATATTACTCGTATCGATGATGATCGCGTAACTCGGTTGAGTTGTTCATTTGAAACCCATTCATTTATGGGATAATCGATTTACGATAAATTAAAAAATCGATTTTTTTTGAATTAAACACAGCCCGGGTATTCGTAGCTATCTTGCGTCACTGGCTCTATCGCTGGCTTGACAAAAACAAGGTTGAAAAAAATTGATAGAGGAACGTAAATCGGGGCATTTCTATTGAAGGCCATGACGCTGCATAACTGTCGTCCGTGATTGTTGTGTGTCACCGCACGACCTCAACTCAGCCGGGTACGCGCCTTCAGATCTAATGATAATGCTACAAAAACGATGGAACGGCTAACCTTCTTACGATGAAATTAGTGATACTGAAATATGGTATCTTCAGTTCCTATTTATATCATATTTCTCTTCTCTCTTCAGTTCTCATATTTATCAAAAGCTGTAGATAAGCTGTGATTTTTTTATGTGCTTTTAGTTGTCGGAAATATTCTCGGAGCTTTCTTGAAAACTGCTAAAAATTTCATTATAACTGATATTTTTCATCTCATATCTGAACATAAGTACGTACATAAGAAAGTACATGATGTTTTTTTCAAAGCACAGAAAGCTTGATTATTATGTATGTGTATGTATATATCTATGTATTTATTTTGGCAATGTAACTATAACCTAGTGTTTACTTTTACTCATGTCTACTATAATTCTTTAAATTATCGCCATGTATTAACTTCATCACAGCTACGCACTTCTTGAACCTTTCACTTCATCAACGAAGGTTAACTGGAAGAGAATGCCTGCGTGGCGTTAAGTTCGCCTTTGTTCAATCTTTTTGTACAATAAAAAATTTTCAATCAATCAATCAACATACCAAGAAGCATTCATGTAATGGTGTCTTTTTTTTTTTTAAATATATTGCCTTTTCAGGCAGACGAGCATACGGCCCACCTGATGGTAAGTGGTTACCGTCGCCCATGGACTTCAGCAATGCCAGGAGCAGAGCCAAGCCGCTGCATACCGCTGTCTATGAAGAATATGTCCGAATAACACAACGTTTTCTTTTTACCTACAATTTACATTGCATCGTATCGCATATACCGCCAGTGGAAGTGGGTCAATAGATGCGACGTCGCAGTACATGGCTTTCATGTTAAATTACGTGAACATTTATGAATGTAGTCACCGTAATCATATTTGCAATCAGGCTTCCGAGCTTTCAATGTCGTTGGTATATTTTCTAATGTTAAATTCTATTTTCTCATCTGATTACTGAAAGGTTGAAGAGTAAAAGCCTTATAGCAGCTCAATTTTCCTTTAGCGATATATATTTATAAAGATTACGTTTAAATAAGTAATCATTACTTTTTCAAGTAAGTTTTACAAGTAGTCTGCGTACATTTATATTACTTTATATACACTCACTTATATACTTTGTACTGTGTACTATATACTTTGCATATATAATTCTTTCATTAAATACTTTAAGCGGTATTTTACTGTATGATAAAACATGGATAAATTTTCAACTGAAAATAATTAAATTCTTGTATCGTGTTAAAATGCTAGTACGGAATATTAAATTTCACCACATCACAAGCATAAAATCTAGATCTGCTTAATGCAAAAAATCACGCATTTGCACGGATTCGCGTGTCTTTTGTCTTTTTCTTTGAGCCACCTCGACCTCTAGACTAATACTTAATTATTTAATTCAATCTAATATTAAAATAGATGTCTATAATAATTATTTTGGAATTCATTATAATTTGCTACGATTAAATCGTGGATATGCCTCTACTAATATTTACG